GAGAGAGAGAGAGAGAGAGAGAGAGAGAGAGAGAGAGAGAGAGAGAGAGACCGAAGCAGTTTGGCATCCTGGTGCGCACCTGCCATCTGGTGGTGAGACGTTAACTCTGAGACGTGGAAATTCAAGTGATCCCTCCCAGTCTGATTTTTTTTGGTTTGTTTTTTCATGTGCAACTTGTGCCTTATCTGGCAGGATGAAGACTAGGTGTTTGAGGGGTTCCGTCCAGCAGCGCTTCTGAAGCTGAACGTGGGCCTGAAGGTTTGCAGGGGGTTGGGTTCTCCTCCGAGGGGGTTTGGTGCCAGCCCCTCTGAAACTGGGCTCCCGTCCTGCCCCAGAGGAGTGGGAGCCTCCTGCACTGGCATCTAATTTAGGGGTGGTCCGAGGCAAGGCTGGGGAAATCGGATCCTGTGCTCAGGAACACCGATAGGGAAAGGCATTCTATCAAAACATCATTTACGAAGAAGGGGTAATTAATCCATGAATGCGCTTAGTCCTGGGCTCTAGGGTTTACCTAAATTGGCAGAATGGTACAGCCTGGTGGCATTTGGGTTTACTGGCCTTCTGGGCACACTGTGTTTGCACTTATTTCAATCATGCATTTTCTGGGTTCACTCTTCCAGACTGGGGATAGAAAGGAGCATGGCTGTGGAGTGGAGGAGAGAAGAGACACACTTTTCGTATTTTGCCAACATCTGGAAAACACCAATCTCATTACAGCCATGAGGAAATAAACAGGAGGGTAGAGGCGCAGGCAGATAGGTTAGATGTAGGCTCTCACTCCAGTTTCCCTTCTCACAAGTCCCCTGATGGCCCCCAGCTTCTATCTCTTCTCTTGGAAAATGCAGGTTTTACACTTAATCTCAGAGGATTGTAGTTGAGATGAAATGAGATTGTGGAAGGGTTTGGAAATTAGGGAACGTAGGAAGTATGATTATATCTGTTGAATGTGTATCAGCCTGAGGCAGCGCAAACGAAGGCCGGGCGGAAAGGCTCAGGCGCGTGGGCAGAGGATGGGGTGACCGCTGTCCAGGGGCAGCTACTGGGAGTCTTTCTGAATAACCTGGACAATGGCTCCGAAAGTTGGGCATTTATGTTGATGATAGTAAGCAAAAGAAAACTTTTAAAAAATGTGTTTAGAATTAATGAAGGAGGTTTATGACCATTATATTTAAAAAAAGAAAACAATGGCAGCAGAAACAGTGAAATTATTGTCTTCACGCTTAAGTGTTGGTTCTAAATGTGTCAGCCTTTAAATAATGTTTTTCAAAGGAAGCTTAGTAAACTGCTGTTTCGTCTCTAGTGACTGATAAAGTTTTAAATCTCACATAGCCATTGTTCTATTATTCAGGTAGTTAATCGAAACCATATTCCACCAAACTTGAAGCTAATTCAAATGTGAGGGATTTCAATGCTTATTTCATAATTTGGCAAAGCTAACAAGTCTAATTAGCACAAGAAGAATCCTTGCTTTCTTCTCTTTGTCAGGAACTTGAAAACAGTCAGTATCACGTAAGCAAAGCTGTGTGAGCCTTGGCTCTCATTTCTGAGCCAAAGAAACTTAGAAATTTTTTTTTTACTAAAAAACTAATTTTCTTATTTTAAGATTTTTTTAATTTCAAATTTTTCTTTTGAAAGAGCCTTTTGTATTTGATTTTTATATACATATGGATACATATATAAGAAACACACCCATATAATTCTCTATATACTCTATCTCTATTTACTCTGTATCTTTTCAATAGGTCCGAGGCATTGAGAAAAAAAGAGAGTGTTGTGACATACCATATGTTTGAGGCAAAGGACAGACTATGAGATGGACCCCTGAATGAAGACAGGTCAGGAGAAGCACATGGGACGTCCCATACACTTCTTAAGAAGAGAGGGCCCCAGTCGGGTCCCGCTGCACAGAGTGACTCCAGCAATCTGCACAGAAGGTGACATCTGATCAGGCGCAGGAGTCAGAGTCCATAAAATGAGAGCAGCACAACTGCTCTGGCAGAAAGCTGTGTTTGGTTTCTGAAATTGCTCACTTGTTTGAATATTCTCACCTCAAGTTGGGCAAGAGCCTGGAGTAAGTGATTATATGGAAGGAACCAAATAAAGTTACCTTTCCTCGAAAAAGCACAGGTTAGACCCTGTGGGTCTGTAAGTACAAATCTGGAGAGGTTGCGATTTAACAACCCTATCTAATTACAGTTTGAAAACTTATTTCTCACATATGATAAAATTACATCTTTAATGATTAGGGGAGGATTTAGCAACTGGTAATAAACAATGGATATTGAAAAAAAGAGGAATTAAAAATATTCAAGGATTCTCAAGAAAGAGATAAAAATGTAGAAATTCAGATCAGACCCTATCTAAAACAAGCAGCACATTCCTCATATCTTAACCAATTGAGGAGGTTAGGAATGGGGTCACCTCTCAGAATACTTCTGCCTTTTGCCTGTTATGTGTAGTAGAGTCAGGAGTTTATGCTGAGGGTCCCCGCTCTGCCTTCCAAGTATCAGTCTTACTCTAGGAAGTCCATTTTTTTCTTGCAAGATGAGAGGGCATCAAAATTACTGGTTGCAAGGAATTCTTGGCCACCCAATCGAACTGATTGTAGTCACAGAGGCATACTCGGGCCTTCACCTACCTGCAAAATGTCCCTTTGGTAAAATGCTTTTCATGGGCTGAGAGCCGGCACAGGACATGTCACCACCAGATGGCAGGAGTGCACTCTGAATAAATGGAGCGGCCGCAAACGCTTTTTCTTTGTTTTCCACTCACTGAACTCTCCACTAGGTGGCAGCAACATATATATAATGGGATAGCCTTTAATGAGTTATCTAAATTTAATTTTTCTTTTAAATATGAGAGCTGCACTTTTCTATTTTTGAATTTTACTGAGCTTATTTGAGCCAAACTGACACATATGCTGGGGAGAGCAAGACCGCAACTGCTCTCAAGAGTAGCACTTTAAAAAAGTATCCAGTTGGACTTCTTTCCTCTAGAATATTCCATACTATTTGCCTTTGGCCTCCCTCACATTAACCCAATATACAAAAACAAAACAAGGCTTTTTTGGGGTCTACTTTCTAAAGAACATGGGAGAGGTTACTATTTTAAACCATTATTGCTTAAGAATTTATGGAGCCAGACTTTCTTATCCCAAGTTGGGGGGCGGGGGGGAATAAAAAGTAACTAAAATAGTCACTTCTTTGAAGATAATACTTATTATTCACTGACCACCTATTATGTGACAAAGATTGTATTTAAATGCTTTAAACATTAGCTCATTGACTCTGGATGGACACTTCTTAAGAAAGCCTAGATTTTACCTGAAGCCATCACCTCTGTATTTTCTCTGACTTTATTATGGTTTTCTGCTTGAACCTTTTTCCAAAGCCCATACTGCAGAAACTGGAACTGCTTTCACGGTACAATTTCGAGTGCACACAGGGATGTATTTCTCTGTTTATGACATTCCCCCTCCTGTAACTGCATAGCATTTACCCAGTGAGGGATAATATAGTTTGATTCTATTATTACATTAAAGGCTAAAAATGAATTTTGGTTTGGGAGCAATAGCAAAGTAACACCCTCATTCATGCTGAAGTATAAATGAGCAGGGGTGAGAGTGGAGGGGGGCCAGAGAGAGAAGGCAGGGAGGGAGAGGGGCCAGGAGTTAGGTGAGCAGCTCCGCTCCTGTGGGTGCCGGGCCTGGTGCCTTTAGGAGTCTTACCTGGACGCGGCCAGAAGCAACCTGCTGGGACACAAATTCCTTCCACATGTAGCAGAAACTTGAACATGTTCTGAATTCCTTAGAAGCAAACACTGGGCAGTGAAGCCTTGAAAACCGAGTAGGTATACAGTTGGTCCTTGAACGTGGGTTTGAACTGCGCAGGTCCCCTTGTAGGTGGACTTTTTTCAATAAATAGCTGGCCCTGCCTCTCCATGGGTTTCACATGTGCAGCTTCAACCAACCGCAGGTGAAAACAGTCTTTTCGCACCCCCAACCGCAGATTCCCAGCTGCAGACAAAAATACTGGTTTCAACCTGCGGCTAGTTGAATCTGTGGAAGCGAAGGGCAGACTGTAGTCAAAAATAATATGTGGATTTTTCCTTTGGGAAGAAGGGATTCTGGGGATTCCAGAAAAAGTAAAAGTAATTACTGTGCGGGGGCTGGCACCCCTGCCCCATGCTGTTTAAAGGTCAACTGTAATATTAAGTGGCTGCCTAGGAGGTGTCCGCAGTGAGAGTGGACCTGCCCTCAGCAAGTCCCCTGGACACTCATGGCTCCTTATTTCAGTTTTGAATTGGACTGGGGGAGAGGAGGAGGGAGGTTAAGGACTGCAGATACGCTCACGACATATTTTGTGCGAATGATTTTATTGTACGGAAAAGCTGCACTTTCATGTACTTTATTTCAAGTATCTTTAAGAGAAATACAATAAGATAATATGGAAACCCCAGAGGACAAAAGCTGACTAAAGACAAATGAGGAAAGTCCCTTTGTTGTTTCTTGCACAAGATTGGGGGGGTGGAGGGTTGAAATAAAAGGGATGGAGATGAGAGACCCAGGAAAGGGAGTTCTAGAAGAAAGAGAAGGGTGGCGACTTCATTCACCTGTGGCCGGGGCCGGGGCCCCAGGCATGTGCAGGCACCATAAGCGCCCCCGGGGTGCGGGCAACTAGCACACGGCGGCCGCGGCAGGGGGTGAACTGTGCAGCTCCTTGCTGGGCCCGCTCCCGTCTGCGCCTCACCGGCCCTCGGGCAAGCCTCGCCGGGAAGACTATTATCCCCTCCCGGGAGAGAAAGCCTTGCCCAGGGTCAACAGCCAGCAAAATCCAGTTAGGATTCCAACTGTTCTCTTCGCGGTTTTCCTCTGCTTTTCTGGGGGCTTCCTTCCTCAGTGGCGGCTGGGGAGGCCACTTCCTGACTGCCACCAGGGGTCACGCTGGCCGACTGGGATCAGCCAGTCGGCACAGCTGGCTCTCAGCGTGATTCACTGCGTGACCGCGGCCCGCCTAAGTTCAGGTCCACTGAGCCGACCGGAACCCGAGGCGCTCCGGAGGCTGGGGAAACAGCAATACGCGCGGGGAACATCCCCGCTTCCCCGTTTATTCCTGGCTTAAACGGGAATAAAGGGAGATAAGACGGTGGAACTCAACCCAACAGGCAGCGCCACAAGCTTTTACCCTGTACGCCTGGCCCTTGGCCGAACAGTGATCCTCTCAGCCTCCCTAGTGCTGACAGGAGGGTGGGCGTAGCAAGGTAACGGTGTTTTAAAAACAGGGCGAATACAGTCTGAGCATTAAGACAAAGCTGTTGACCATTGCGGGTGATGCCTTGTTCTCTATCAGGGTGTTCGGTCTGGGCTGTGCACGGTGGCTTCTGTGGCTTTGATCCCCAGAATTCCTTCTTCCCGAAGGACAAGCCTCGGGCTGGATTCTTACCCGGGCCCCAGGGCGCGGCGCAGGGAAAGCCGGGGCTCCCGGGCAGCACCCGCACCCAGTAAAACCCGCACCCTGTATGACGATCACCTGTGAACTGCACGCTCAGTAACGCACCCACGCCGCCTGACCGTGTTTTTCTGTAAATGTTTATTTGGAAAGATTTTTAAGAAATTTCAACCGGTTGTGTCTGTGGCAGTTTCTTCAGGTGAGAAACATGCTAACAGTCACTATGGAAACCAAGACGCAGGCAGCCAGGAGCAGCGTCAGCCCTATTCGGCGGTATTTCGAATGCTTCTCTTGTTCTTCCTCCTTCTTCAGTAAGGTGTCGAAGCCGGGCGTGTACATGTCTCCCAACCAAAACCGCAGGTCGTTAGGATTCTCCTAAAAGAAAATTACATGGAGAACAGGCCCAATCAGTGATCAGCACACGACCGCAGACAAGACACTGCCAGAGGCGCTGAAGGTCGGTGCTCGCACTGTCTGGGCTGAGGCTTAAGTGTCAGGACTCAGGTGAGAGAGCGAGGCTCCCCTGAACGGCACAAACACGCAAGCACAGCCGCCTGGCGGCCCCGGGGCCCTGCAGCTCCAAGCTGGAGGTGAGCCTGAGAGTCATCAGGAGGCCTGCGTGATTTATTGACTCAACTGCTCACACAAGAGTGTTTCTGTCATCTTTTTAGCCTATTTAAATGCACCTCTTACATCTCATAAACAGTGCGTGTCAATCAGGTTAGTGAGTCGAAATACAATTAAAATTCCTCCCTTGCTTTAGGTGAGCCTTAGAGGTTTGATTTTGTCGGCAAGGCTGGGATGAACATGCTTGGTGAGTTTTTCGGTAAATCCAGAAGCTGACTTCCATGCAGGAGGCGTAAGACTAGAAGTCAAGGGTCCCTTCCACGCTTTTTGGGTTGCCGGTCCCCCTTGCAGAGGGCGACAGCGTGTTCGGTGTGCAGAAACTTTGGCCCTGTTTGACCTCTTAAGAAAGGATCCGACGTGTCCTTCCCCACATCAGCTCCTACCCCCCACGTCTGCCGCCGTCCCGGGCCTCGTCTTCATTTCAGCTGGGCAGAACTGTCTTCAACACAACCTCATTCCTATGTCCAGCAAAGCACCTGCAAACTCTGCTGCTCAGACCTTAAAAAGCGTCTTCTCCTGTTATATCCAGCTCTGGTTCAGTGCTAAAGACTCGGCGTCTGGATTCCGGTCAGCATACAACCAATTTATGGTGAATGCTAAACTCTGTTTTCAAAAACCCACTTCATGATTTCTCATCTGGATTGTTGCAACGGCCTGCGGCTGGACTGCTTCCCCTCTCTCTCACTTTCTAGTCTCACTGGACTTCAAGTCAGCCAGTGTCCATGGCCAGCTCTGGGGGCAGTGCGCTAGTTTCAGATGCACCGAAGTGCGGCTAGGAGAGCGATGTGGGTGCCTGCGGGGGGCCGGGGGGATTCTGGTCCCTGCAATACGGTCCTTCCCTTACACTGCTACTAGCTTCAGTTATCTAGTTCTAGAAAAGCTAGAGTATGAAAATAAAATTTGGATGACCTGTGCAAAAAGATCGATGATTTTAAAATCTGTCTGCTCTACTCTGGTCCTTCACTTTGTGTGTGTCCTGATCAGAGGCTTGCGCTTTGCCTGCAAGGCTAATGCCTCCAATCTTCCGTTCAAACTTCCACAATGGGGACAGTCCTCTCTTCCATTCTGCTCCCAGCTTCCCTTCATAGCTAAATAGGGGGCTGCTTTTCTCCTTTCCTATTTATAAACTCTTAGCAATTTAGAAAAATGAGAGTAGCCAAGGGAACTTCAAACTTTTACGGCCCGTAGTGGTGAAAAGTTTTCAGAAAGTAAGCTAGGGGGGCTGGCTGCTAATTAAAAGCCCTGGATAGGGAAGGTGATGGGAGAAGCTGAATTCATGAGGTACGGGAAGAAACTGAAATCAAAACAGAAGTCATCACTTCCAGAAGTATCCCTCAAGAACAGCTAGTGCTGAAAAACAGCATCATGAGGTCTGCAAATGAGCCTGTGACCCGAGGGGCTACTGCTTTGAGGTTAGTGACTCTGTGTA